GGGGGTCAATTTGACCCCAACCTCCTGAGATCTCGGGAACTAAGAGAGCTAGAGACACCAAATTTACACGGTGTCTTGACCTGTACGTAGACTCACTTAGGTCAAAGTTTGAACTTCATAGGCCATGACCTTCAGGTCAAATAAGGTAAAACAAGGTCAAATTCCAGGTTAGTCTAGAAAGTGCCCCCAGAACGTAGGCAACTGTTTCTAAGCAAAAGGTCATAAGCCTATTTGAGGTCAATGACGTTTTTGTCCTTTTGATGGTCATGGTGACCAAAATCATACAAAACTGCCCTGAGTTTCGCATTTGAATAAGCGACAAAGAATACGCTAGGCAGTATGTTCCCAAAACAAAATGTCGACCCAGGTCATGTTAGGTCTATGATCTGTTCTGACCTCTAAGAAGTCAATGGAAGATGCATAATGCGGTTCCTGCTGTCAATAAACTCGAAATGAGCGCCACAATTTATCCCATACAGCAAGACCTAGAGTAATAAATCAGGTTGGTGTTGACCTTGGTCTGACATTCATGCCTGACCTTAGGTCAACGTTGCTTGCTTATTCAATATTTGCGGTGCCTAAAAAAGCATCTCAGAGATGTATGGCTTCGTCAAACACTCCGTTGATGCATCAGTTTGAACGATTACCTTGAAATTATTTTTGCTGAAACCATCACCTGACTTTAACCTGCCATAGGTCAGCGACCTTTCAAGGTACATCTCAATTTTCTTAGGTCAAACGATCTGCTATTCAATTGTCTACAGCTATGCAAAATTTGGCGCGGTCGCACCGCGCCGTTCGGAAACTATTCTGGAAAAACCTTGGGGGGGTCAATTTGACCCGCCACCCGAGCGCGTGTTAAGATCGCTCTGAGCTCTTCTCTTGCTGAAGGTAAAATGAAGCTTTCCCAAAACTACATAAATAAGTGTCATTCTGTGTGACGTGGAAAATGGGCAGATTACGCATAAACACACCAATCGCTGTGTACGTTTGGGAAACATATTCTAAGGCTCTAGAACTGGTAACTTAGTGTTAGTGAGCAGTGCAGCAGGTAGTGGGCTAACGATATCGGAATGACTCAAGCCATGCTTCAAAAAAGCAAAGCGCAGCAACAATCTAAAGTGCTGCATCATCCCCTCGCTTTTAACATGTCAGAGAAACCCACACATCGAGAGAAGAATAGTTTGCAATGGATACGATAAGAGAGCTCGAGAAATGCAGAGTTTTTAGCGAAACGCATTGCTATGGCAAAAAAACAGTCTCAGTCCAAAAAAGTAGTCTCAAAAAAGCTCTTCAACTGGTGGGATGCGTTTTGAAGTCACTGCAGAGCCTGACAACAAATAAACATTGCAGCAGCACTGACAAGTAGCAGCGGCAAGATCAGTGATATCTGGCAGGTGCAGTGACAGCGAGAAGGCTTTCCTTGAAGCTCTCGGAATGCACAACGCATAAGTCGCAGCGGATATCTGGAGAGCAAGATTTTAAATCTTGGGAATCGCTGTTTTTGTCTGAAAAGCAGATCGCGGATAAATAGATCAAAATGCCCCAAGCGATGCTTCCAGACCATTAATGCTACTGTTTTTGCATGCTTCGACTACCTTCTAGCTAACTGGCTTGTAGCACTAGCTTCGACGAATGACCATATACATATGCAGATTTCGCGCCATGCCGCGAAATGTGCTAGTGCGATGGTGGCGTATATACCAGGTTCTAATACACACCGTTTTCTTGGATTTACGCTTGTTTCCTGAAGCAGATGAATTTGGGTTCTACGGGCATTTACAACCACCCCCTAGCACGCACATGCATATGAAGAGGACGGGAAATGGACCACCAGCCACCGACCGATCTCAAGGCTGCAAGGGATTCATGCCGTGTTGCTGCACGAAAAGCTGTCTTACAGACACAGTTAGTTTCCCATGGCCGACAAACGTCCACGGTAACCCGCACACCACAACTGGTTCCCGTCAGGGACTCCGGCAGCGAGAGGTCGGATCGGCCTAGCGTTGGTCAAACATCCTCATTCGGTGGATGACGGCCGACGGCAAAACGCTTATTTTCACTCGAAGTTTGGTGCCCAACTATGTTTTTTGCTGGAAATTATTATGACAGTCACCAAAAAATATTGGAGTGTACACTGCACCACCTAATATGAGGTCTCAGTGGTAATGTATTTCGTCACACAACACTTTGAGACTGTTAAACGTCCTTTGCCGTACCATACGCCTCCGCAACAGCATTTCAAGGTTTCATCACAACTCGGCGACATATTCTATGACTTACAATTGGTCGCTCGACTCGGTGACAGATCGGCGACAAGTCACTGAATCTTCAATTGTCCACCCGATCGGACGGTTCGCTGCTTTGACCGGCCGGCTTTTCCACAGTTATATACCATAGGAAAGACAATGCTGAAAACGTTCTAGGTGTGGCGATTCATCCGGCCACAAGGACACGTTTCAGTCATTGCAATACTGATTCCATAAATACGAGCGGTGTTACCTCACGCGCCACGAGTAAATGTCCTGCGAACGCGGCATTCGCATTGCAGCTGCCTACGGAGTATCCGGCTTTGTTAAATTCATTGGTGACGCAGCTGTGGCGCTTCTGGTCCTCAGCGACCAGAGGAACAAACATCTTAGGGAAGTTAGCGAGATCATCTGATCGGGATCCAGTGACCCGTGATTATCCAGACCGCTTTCCAACACGCAGAAAACCGCTGATGCACCAGAGCAGTCGGCAGTCGCAGGCATCCAGTCACAGCAGTCGCAGTCAAAGGCACTTCCACACAAAGTTTGCTCGGAGATACCCGGCATCTTTGACCATTCTAGAGGAGTCAATATGAGCGTTTGGGAAACCAGGGATACGGGATTCAATGCCCCGCGGTGCCCGCCCTTCCTGTCAGGGTGCGTGGCAGGCGACGCCACAAAGCCTTAGCAGCTGAGAGCGTCGCAAAGCCCCAATGACAAGAACCGCTCATGGGCCACACTGACCTCCCTAGGCCCCCTGCGTACTCAGGCCTCCACGGCCGCTCACGAATCGCTTTAGCTGATCAAGGCCCTCCTGACCGCTGAGAGCCCCTTCGTTTCTAATGCGCCTCTGGTGGATAGGGAAAGATGAAAAAGTGTGACACCTGCCGAGGTTCGAACCCATGACCGCTTCGTGAAATTGATCAGGTATGAATCTTCGGTCCGCCTGAACTCTGTTCGAAACAATACGCAAATGGGTAGAAATGTTCAGAAAAGAAAGGTGCACATCTTCAGGGGGATATGGATGGGTCAGACCGATGAAGGTGATCTGAAGGTGAAAGATAATGTTTTCCATTGACGGCTTATACTAAAAGCGCGTGGAATCTCCTCACTGAACCCCCATCATCCCGCCTTCGTTTTTCAGTGGATTACAAAAATGTGTTGCATTTAGGCGGAAACAATGCGGTTCAGTGTGATGTGGGATCTGGTGATGTTTGGATCAGCCGTCGTCCTAGAAGCTACTTATCTGTAAGCTGCACAGAACCTTGCACGGCAGCCCAGTGCTGCAAATGCCGTCAAACCGCACAATGGCCAAATTGTGTACTCTACGCTAGGCTCGAGATTCGTAAATTCACCATTCGGTCCCACGTTTTACCCCATCTTCTGCGCTGCATCTCGGTCTGGGGTGGGGTTGCAGCGTGTCACCTAAACAGAGTGTGATGCATGATAAACCGAGGGTCAGGACCGTCACCGACGCTCGTCGGCGAGATTCGAAGGCGACTGCCGTCCAAACGCCGGGCTGGCTCGGTGTAAGTGACCTCGTCACCCACCATGACAGCCTCACTGTGTTCAGGGCCCGCAATGACTCGAAGCACCGGCGGCGATCCAGTCCCTGTTCATCCCGCATTCCGCTGTATGTCAACGTGCCACCCGAGTGGCAGCAGTTAACGCTCTTGATCTGCCCGCTCTCCGCCTGGTGGCGACACGCAGGGTCTTTTCTTATCGCGCGGCACTATCCTGCAGCCGCCTGCCGCCGACCGCCACCGCCTCTCGCGCCCGCAAGGAGCTTCGCGCCGGACTGGACGCTGCGCTTACAGGTGCGTAGCATGTTTTGACGAAGCGTCTGAGCGATGACATGACTGCTATTGCACCTTTCACAGCTTGTCGACACCGCTCCTGTTTTATTAAAGCCCTCTTGACTGGCTGACCTTTCCGCCCGAATGGGATCGGTCCGTCTAAAATCCCTTGTCCCCATGCATACATAGCCGTCTTGGGCCTCACGCGCCCGCTAGATTTTTATTAGTTTATCCAGATTGTCTCTTCCGCTTATCCCAGACAAGATTAAGGGAATGCTTATTATCATAAATATCACCCCTCCCCTTAACATGCGTATAACATACCATTCAAAGCGCGAATGGCTGCCTCACCTCCGACGTTGAATGTCACTGATCTGTGACATCACCTGATCAGAGCCATCGAACAACCATATCCCGAACTGTGTGGTTATCTGCATCGCACGCGGATTCACGCCTGATAACGCGTGTTAGCGACGCCTTAATGAGTGCAGGAGGCAAGGAACTCCATATCTAATTCCAGTGTTATACTAAAAATCCGTCAGGTGTGCACTCGTGTGCTCGAAGTTTACTTCTACTGAATATGTCACACTGCCACTGGCAAACCCTAGGTTGTGTCGCGCAGATGCTGCCATAGTAACTATCTCTCGAGTTACTGTGGGTGTCCAGCTTACTGGGGTTCGTGTCATGCCAAGGTAAAATGAATTTCAAGTCCAGTGTTTGCAAGAAAGCTGCCTAAGAATTGAACGATGAATTTCTCGGGAAATTTAGGTATTTGTTCCCTCCCCCGAGGAAAATAAGCGGGGGCGGGGGCAACTCAAGGCTAGCTACGTAGCTGCATACCTGAACACAGTAACGATTGGTGCAACTTCCGTGCCCATGTGACAGATAAGAGGGTGAAATGCGACCATTTCACCGTCCACGCAACACCTGTCTAGCGTGACCCTCCGTACCAGCCTCAGGTCTGGACGACCTCGACTCGGCTTGCGTGAATATCGTCCATCTCTGCAGTCCACGTCACCGTCTGTTAGTCCCTAGCACCTTACGTCGAGCAGTCCGCCAATAACCTGCAGAGACCTGCGTGGCCTTCAGTGCACGCTTTCACTGCACAGCGCCGTTCCGCGAAGATCGCGGAGCATCCGTGATCAATGACGCTTTTTATTTTAAAATTGAAGTCGCTGGCGACAGTTTGGAATGAGGAGGGATGGGTGCATGACGCTGTATAAATGGAACTTCGAGAGCGTTCTGTTTTGTTCGGTTTCGTTGCACGGTGCTGAGGCCACCCAGACATGTGAGAACGAACGAGGGTTTCAGCGGTAGGCTCAGCTTCTTGCAACAACGCCCAGACGATCAGCCAAAACTTTGGAGACCGGATGTTCCAATTTATTAATGCTTAGGATAAACGCTGCGCACAGCACGAGGTATGACGTATATTGAACGCTTACCACACATAAACTAATCGGACATTACAAATGTCCACATGCGTTTATCGCCGCCCCTTTCCCCGACCTCCGCCCCGGCCGCCGCCTCTTCGGGAGGATCCGCCACCCCTGCCCGCCGCCGCCCCTCTTCCTCCGCGTCCGCCCCCTCTGCCCGCGGCACCGCCGGCCTTGCCTCCGCCGGCCTTGCCGCCACGCGACTTGCCTCCGCGCCCCTTGCCGACGCCGACGGTACTTCTATTTCGCCTTCTCTCCGTAAGATCGCGCTGCTTGAGGATCTGGTCGGAGGAGCGCATCTCGGGCCGCTTGGCGTGTGCCGGCCCGCCGCCCAGCGCCGGTCGCGACTGGTTCTTACGGTGCCGGATCACTGAGGCACGGGGTTCACGTGGGTTACGGATCAAGTCTGACTTACTTTCAGAACAGCCTCAGGTAGTCTGTCAAGTGATGGAGTAGCACCCAAAGACACTTCATTTGCTTTTCCCTTTTCAGCGCCAGAGCAACATGGCAGCACTCCAGTCCGCTACACCAAGACGAAGGAGCAGAAAGACATCTAAGATGTCCGCACACCCAAAGACAAACAGCATAATCAGTGCAGAGACGACCATTTCAGCCTGAATACTTTTGAGGAGCTTCCGCATGCATCCGCAAACGCTCAAGATTCTTATGCAAACGCATTTCTACAAACCATAAAAATGTAGCCAGTTTCTATAAAATGTTGGGATTTACACTTGCGCAGAGAATTTCGGACGCCCGCTTAGGTGGCCAAGGAACAATGCAATCTACTACTAGGTAAAATACAACTAGGGACAATACAGTCTACTAGGACGTGAAAGCGAAAGTGGCACTTAACACATACAAGAAGTTAGATATCGTATCAAGCCAGACGACAAACAACGCAGATGTAAATACATGCCGATCACGCCCCAGGACCACGCGTATGCAGTACAAACACATGAGTTAATGCGGCGGCCAACTTTCGCGAAGCTTTACAAGAGTGAACGTGTGCGAGACGTTGCACGGACCTTACGACATTCGTGGATCACCGCTCTTTCACCCATCTGTGATTTTAATTACAGAAATGATTTGATGGGCCCCAGCCCGTTAATGGGTGAATAAGTGCAGTTCCGGGCTGGTATGACCTGACTTTGACACCACACAGTACCACCTCTACCCGCTAATGAGCAGATGCGTATACCGTTTTGGCCGCTATGACCCGATTTCAGTAACAAACAATGCAAAACACAAAAGACAGCCATTATGTTGGGTCACAACCCCTTCCGTTTTGCTTCACATCTAACCCCCTCCCCACCCCGGGCCCCACCCCTGCCTCAGCTAGCCCATGAGCTCCCGCGTCTTCAGTACCTTTGAGGCCGCGACCGCCCTTCCGCTGGTGACCCTCGTCGGAGTCGGAGTCCTGCGCGTCCAGCTGCGTCTTCTTCTTCCACTCGTCGTACTTGCCGGCCTTCTGGAACGTGGCCGGGATCCAGACGCCCGACTCGGTCCGGATCTTCTTGTTCTTGCCGTCCTGCGGTGTCGTTGGCCAGCGGCAGTGAGCATTCCGGGGAGTCTGGACACCAAGGCAGCCCAGCGAATCCGGTGGCGGAGTGAACCGTCCATCATGATGAGACGCCGGGATACGACTCCCAAGTACAAGCACAAAATGTACCAAGATGCGCTACAGAAACGTCAGGCCTGAGCTCCTCGCTTGACAAGACGACCTCCAACAGCAGAAAGAACACGCCGCGGGGCGCGGGCGCCAAAAGAGACAAGGGAGCCGGCCCAGATGCGGACCGACTCCCAGACAACTCGGCCTAAATGCGGACCGACTCCGAGACAACTCGGCCCAATGCGGACCGACTACGAGACAACTCGGCCCAAATGCGGCCCGATTCCCAGACAACTCGGCCCAAATGCGAACCGACTCCGAGACAACTCAGCCCAAATGCGGACCGGGTTCCAGACAAATCGGCCCAAATGCGGACCTACCCCTAGACAACTCGGCCCAAATGCGGACCGCAGGATCCCGAGCTCGTCTGTGACTGGGAAGCGCCATCACTCACGTTTGAATTGCCGACATATTTCTTCTTCTTGGGATCCCAGTGTTTGGCATTAGCCTGGCGGCGGTGGCGCGTGTCGTCATCCATGGCGAGGTCCAGAAGGGCAGTGCTCGCCTCGCGCTCAAACGCGCTCGTCACCGAGTACCTGCCGGGAGGGGGACCAGGGCCGCGTCACGGACCGTCCGTGACGATGACGCGCCGCGAGCGCCGGCGCCCGGCGTCAAAGGAAGCTGTGTGGTGCAGGAAAGCGGAGACGGGTGGAGGGGGGGGGGGGGGGGGGGCGGGGGGCGACACCGCAGCTGGCAATCTGCATGCACGTGGACATGCGGCCGGCGCAGAGAGGGCATCGCGAATGATCGGGCGGTGAGAACTCTCCACAACATAGACTCGCACGGACGCCATGTCGCAATACGACTAGTTTCGAGCATTCCAAGACAAAAGAAGCCCAACATTTATCCCGAACTCCACCAGGCGTCCTGCCCACGCAAACGCCGCGGCATTCAGCAAACACCGGGCCCGACAGTGCAGTGCTCGCGCCTCACCGCGACGTACCCGCCGAAGCACACCGATCCGCACCACTCCGGATGCCGCGCTGACCGGCCTCCACCTGCGCGCGCCCCGCAGCGCGGCCTACCCACCCGGCCTCGGTGTGGTGATCCTTGGCCTGGTACGGGATGTAGTTCTGCTCGTCGCGCGCCGCCGCCGCCGGGCGCGGCCGCTTGGCGCGCTGCTCGCGCCGCCGGTCGTACTTCTGCCGATCGCGCACCACGCGCTGGAACGTGTCGCTGATGGCCTGCTCCGAGGAGGCGGCCAGCGGCACGCGCTCCGGCTCCGGCTCCGGCGCTGGCGGGGCCGGGCCGAGCGAGGATATCATCACAACACCATGCACAGCCTGCAGCGGGGCAGCGCTGACATCGGCGGCACGTGCTGTGCTTCAGCTCGGCACCTGAGTGCTCTACGACTGGGCTGCACGTGCGAGACGTAAAGGTTTTGGACGATTTGATCGGCTCCAGCTTTTTGAACGTGAGGAGTGTAAGCCGGGAATGGTGATCTGTAGATTGTAACGCGCGCAGTGCCCAGCGCCGGTGTAATTACGTCTGGCCGACAAACGCCGCTCTGCACCCGGCTCATCGCACTGCGGCCCTGAGCTTGGGCGTGCTGGGAATGCTGACCTTTAAGTCCCCACGCGGCGAGCTCCAGCCATTCAGTCCCGGGATGACTTGGATCAATGAACGGGCCACGCGACGCACGTGGACATGTTCAGTCAAGCCTAGGACAAACAGCAGACTGACCGTCCAGCCATCACACTGACAATGAAGGGCAGCAGCGGCTCAGCGCACGTATGCCACGCTCACCCTCCTGCTGCTCGTCGCCGTCCTCGAGCTCAGCCGCCTTGCGCTTGGCGACGGCACGTTCAATGACGTGCTCATCCCTGTTCCGCTTGGCCTTCATCACCTTGGCGCTGTTTTGGTGAGAAGTAACGCCCACTTCGAATATGGTCTGCAAGAGAGGCGCACGTCCCGTCACGAATATGGTCTGCAGGAGAGGCGCACGTCCCGTCACGAATATGGGCTGCAAGAGAGACCCACGTCCCGTCACAAATATCGTCTGCAAGAGAGACCCACGTCCCGTCACTAATATGGTCTGCAAGAGGGGGGCACGTCCCATCACGAATATGGTCTGCAAGAGAGGCGCACGTCCCGTCACGAATATGGCCTGCAAGAGAGGTCCACGTCCCGTCACGAGAATGGCCTGCAAGAGAGGCGCACGTCCCGTCACGAATATGGTCTGCAAGAGAGGAGCACCGTCCCGTCACGAATATGGTCTGCAAGAGAGGCGCACGTCCCGCCACGAATATGGTCTGCAAGAGAGGAGCACGTCCCGCCACGAATATGGTCTGCAAGAGAGGAGCACGTCCCGCCACGAATATGGTCTGCAAGAGAGGAGCACGTCCCGCCACGAATATGGTCTGTAAGAGAGGCGCCCGTCCCGCACCGAATATGCTCTGCAAGAGAGGAGCACGTCCCGCCACGAACATGGTCTGCAAGAGAGGCGCACGTCCCGTCACGAGTATGGCCTGCAAGAGAGGCGCACGTCCCGTCACGAGTATGGCCTGCAAAGGAGTGCGTGGATAACGGCGGCTGATCCCAGACAACTCATCACGCACGATGAGTGATGTGACACGGCAATGGTTAACCGTCCCCGCAGGATATGCCCTCAGGTATTACGCCTACTGCGAAGACTGCCTCACCACCAATCACCGGTAAACTTCCCAGCACCGGACGCCAGCACGGTGCCCATCTCGCTGAGACGCCCTCTGGTCAGACCACCATACTGCAGCAGTCGGACAGCCCTGACCGTGAGACGCTACACCACAACAGCCCGCCACGCACGCGCCCCGCTCCGGCCGCCTCTGACCGCTGAGGCCGCCCCAACCAGACTGACCCGGGACGCCTTGTAGCCGCGCACGGCGTCTATGAGCCGGGCGCGCTCGTCGGCGCCGGCCGTGGCGCCGGCCGGCCGCAGCACCGGATGCACGCCCAGCTGGCCGGGCCGCCTCCTCCTTCATGCGGCGCACGCTGGCCGCGCTCGCCGCCGGCCGCGAGCGCAGGTACTGCTTGAACGCGTTCTGGCTGCTCTTCAGCGCCGCCCGCTGCAGCACGGAGAGTGCAGGTTGGTGAGGGCGCTCCCGTGCCACGCAGGGCGGCCAAGGCGTGAGCGCCGGCTGACCTCAGGTCAGAGGAGGTGGAGGTCATCTGAGCTTCGTTGTCACTGACGGCGGACCTAATTCCCTAGCTCGTAACGACGACTGAAACTCATGACGCATCTAAGCCAGCTGGCCGCATTGGTCAGGGCAGGCCCAGACCAGCCTCATAGTCATTGCATGGTTGAGTGAGCGACTAAGCGAGTGCGTGACTGATTGATTGATCGATTGATTGAGTGAGTGAGTGAGTGAGCGAGTGAGTGAGTGAGTGAGTGAGTAGGAGTGACGTGAGTGAGTGAGTGAGTGGGTGAGTGGTGAGTGAGTGTGAGTGAGTGGGTGAGTGAGTGGTGAGTGAGTGAGGAGTGAGTGAGTGAGGTGAGTGAGTGGGTGAGTGAGTGAGTGAGTGAGTGAGTGAGTGAGTGAGTGAGTGAGTGAGTGAGTGAGTGAGTGAGTGAGTGAGTGAGTGAGTGAGTGAAGTGAGTGAGTGAGTGAGTGAGTGAGTGAGTGAGTGAGTAAGTGAGTGAGTGAGTAAGTGTGTGTGTGTGAGTGAGTGAGTGAGTGAGTGAGTGAGTGAGTGAGTGAGTGAGTGAGTGAGTGAGTGAGTGAGTGAGTGAGTGAGTGAGTGAGTGAGTGAGTGAGTGAGTGAGTGAGTGAGTGAGTGAGTGAGTGAGTTAGTGAGTGTGCACGCATGCGTGCGTGGTCGTGTGTGCGTGTGTCGACAGCAAACGGTGTCGGTGTCCTCGGCGGCTCACCAGGTCGTTGGAGGTGTCATGCCACAGCTGAATCCGCTCCGAGTCCACGTCCACTAGCTCCTGCGGTATGGAGCCCAGGTAGCCGTGCCAGTTGACCTCCTGCCGCAAGTGGTGTGCAGGGGGAAGGGGCGTCACGGCAAGCTCGGGGACATCGGACGAGGCACGTGACTCAGCCACACTGCGTCTGGCTGGGCACAGGCCGTGCCGTATCAACACCCAGATCATATCAAACATTGTTGGAAGGAGCCGAACCCGTGACCAAATGGGTGTCAGTTATGATTGCATTGAAAGACCCTAATTCAGTAGTTTGGCCGACTTAAGTACATTAGGGTATAGGAGATCTGTGCAGTATAATATATATATATATATATATATATATATAATATATATATATATTATATATATATATATATATACGGCTTCGACTGTTGAGTGGTTTCGACCACTGCCAATGTCTGGCTGGTTTTACCATTTCTTCCGTTTTAAACGTAGATAAGACGTGGTAGTAGCCTTATTCCTCGGACAAAAACCAAGAGAGTGGATATATAGATCCGCTGATATTTCCGCAAAATGCCTTCATCAGAAAAGAATCACAGAAGTGATCCTCCATCTCCCGGTTTTCTCCAAGGAGGTAAGATTATGACTACTGTCTAATCTATGCGAATAATGTTACTCGCAAAGGCACTTAATAAATTACATAATTTTACGTTTATGGTGAATTTCACGGAACCATGAAAAAAACGCAAGCATTTTGGGTGGATGTTAGTCACGACTGGGCTACGCGCCCAAGCGGTTTCCTTGGCCTGATGTGCCTCGGCTGGCCGCTGGGTGATCCATGAGTTCCGTTACAGAAAAGGCGGTTTTGAAAACATTGGTGGCTTTCCGGTCTTCCGCCGGCGGCCGTAAGTGCCGAAAGCTATTACACAAGGCGGCCACGGGCAGAGGTCACGATATCAGCCTACCAAGGCGTCACCGGCCGGGCGGAGCACATCGCGCTACACAGCCTCCCATGAGGCGACGTGAAGTCCTGCCCGGCGCGCAGCAACAATGTCCGTGACAACCCAGATCTGGCCCCTTCCACACCAGGATGCAGCCGCACACTACGAGGCAAACGGCTTATTAGAACCCCAGGCAGCTGATGATGCAAACAAACCCCGGCAGCCATACTGGCAACGCACACACAGTACATACCACTAGCTCTTCAACAAAAGCCTCGACGCTCCGAGCCATTTGGCTTCGCCCCTGATCGCCTACCTTGTCTAGGTTGGTGCTGGGTGTGAACGTCAGTTTGGAGCCCAAGAACAGGTACAGGTCGAGCAGATAGGGCAGCTCGTTGTGGATGAGGATCGAGTAAGCCGTCCCTGGCCGACCAGCGCGGGCAACACGACCTGAAAACGGACGTCAGTCAGGGCGGTTTTTTTAGACAACAGCCCGGTGGCGCCGGCAACAACAGGAGCATTTTTCCACAACACCGGGAATGGTGAAAGCGTGGATTACATGGGCACAAACCCAAGTCATATCAGAATATGCCAACAACCTGACGAGAGCAACAACAAGATTATGACTTAAGATATATGCTTTCTGAGTGATGTCATGGCTTTTAAAGAACAACTATGAGCTGAGCACAATTCCTGAGGTTGCAATACCCGTCTGATGTCGGTCTCTATGGTTGCTTTTCCTTGGCATCGCGTGCACAATACAAAGCACACCAGAATGCGCGCCACGTGCCGTCCAACAGCAGCCAATGACCAAGGTACTCGGAGTCCTGAGATCCCAGCAGCACCACCATTCCGTCCATCCCTGGCGAACCGGCCCCTTGTCCGCGCCACTCACCGACTCTGTGCACGAACAGCTTGGGTTTGGCCGGAAAGTTGTAGTTGATGACGTTGTCCAGGTGGGGGATGTCGATACCACGCGCCGCCACATCAGTCACCACCAGCACATTGACCTGCCCAGGGGGCGGGGGGGGGGGGCAGGTCAGCGAAGCGCCAGCAGGCTATGGCCAGAGGAGCACCGCCAGGCTATGGCCAGAGGAGCACCGCCAGGCTATGGCGAGAGGAGCAACGCTAGGCTATGGCGAGAGAAGCAACGCCAGGCTATGGCCAGAGGGGCAACGCCAGGCTATGGCCAGAGGAGCGCCGCCAGGCTATGGCCAGAGGAGCACCGCTAGGCTATGGCCAGAGAGCACCGACAGGCACCAGAGGAGCACTGCCAGGCTATGGCCGGGGAGCCAGACAGACTATAGCCGGAGGAGCGGTCGGGCGTCCAAACACTGACCGCAGGCGGGAGCGCAGAGGCAGGGCCAGCCGTAAGGGTGATGGCTCTCGACGCACGCCAATGCTGACCTACGTGACATCGCCGTTCCATGATGGAGACCAGGAACAGTGCAAGTAAATTACCCGCGGCGGTATGCGAACCAAAAGCTTTTAATCATAATATCAATGTCCCAAACAACAGGGGTACCCAATATTTATATCTGAATAGTAACTAGGTACTTGCCCACACAGCAAGCCACCCTGGCAGCTCTGGAAACTGCAGCCCCTGAATTCTGAATCCAACGGACAGCACCGTAGGTCACAGAGGCAACAGCGCCTTTCAAAGCACTATGCTTATAACATAAACATTTACTGGGCTTTCTTGCTCACATCGACTATCATGATTATTGCATTATGACTATTCAGACAGAAATACGAGGCGACCCAGTCCCCGTCCACTGATGACGTCATTGACAAATCTCTGCAAATTGCGAGGTGCCCAGTCTCTGTTCACGTGACCACGGTACAACTATCTCCACGAAACGTGCTCCGGAGCGACGCCGACACAGGGCTGCACGGCGTCCGGTGATGGCCACCGACGACGACCGTGAGGCGTCCGTCACAGACGGCACTGCTCGGTGCCACCTACCCTCTTGTGACGGAACTTGTCCGTGTTGATTTTGCGCGCGGCCGGGTCCAGGTCAGAGTACAGGAACGTGCAGCTGAGGCCGGCCCGCTCCAGCAGCTGGGCCAAACAACGCGTGCCAACATCAGTCATCGGTGATAGAAATACGCATGCGTGAACTGCGTGAGAAATCGGTTGTGGACGAGCGTGCTTGAAATACGCCGTCCGGGCACGCAGCTACGGGCGCTACTGAACGTGAGAAACCCCCTGTGGCTGACAAAAATACGGAATATGGATGCTCAACTCCGCTCTATAAATGCGGAACAAAGCAGGAGCTATACGAGGCACCCAACAAACCCAGGGACGGGGATAAGTACGGTCCGATTTTTAAAATGCAAAACCAGATTAAAAACGTCCCGTGGTAGACGCGCAACATCATAAAGTAGGCCGTAAAAAGATAACTGGCCCATCACGGACCTCATGCCCTCACCAGACCCCCGCCCACCGGCCGCATCAGCCCTCACCAGCCGGATGTACTCGACGTGGTGCTTGGTGGCGGCGAACACCACCGTCTGCTGGCCGGCGGGCACCACGTTCTCCAGCAGGTGCAGCAGCAGCAGGCTGCGCTCGTCGTCGCGACAGCGCAGGTACGCCAGGCTCAGCTGCTCGGAGAGCTTCGTCTCCACGTCCAATCTGGCGGACAGGGGGCGGTTCGGTGTCGGTCGGCGGGGGGCGCCGCGCTACCCAGGGTCCGGTGGCGGCGTGACGTGCGAGCTGAGGTGGTGCATGGCTTCCAGATGGCACTAACAGCCACAGCGAGCGGCACCAGCCTGCTGTTCACTGATCTGACCAGTATGTGCCCTCCGAGTGACTCAATGGAATCCAAGAGATGATGATGATTGATGATGATTGTGGCTTTTGAAGCGTATCAGTTAAAAACGCCATTTCCTGCCCGGGAAATCCTAATGTGTATATATATCCAGCGCGTGCATGACCTCAGCTGGCCGTCACCAGCATGTGACTGACCTGACCAGGACGGGGTCGGTGAGGCCGGCGCGAGCAAACTCCACCAGCATGCCGGGCAGCGTGGCCGAGAAGAGCAGAGTCTGTCGGGCATCAGGCAGCCGAGCCAGGATCTCGCGCAGCTGCTCGGCGAAGCCCATCTCGAACAGCCGGTCCGCCTCATCGAACACCACGTACTCGACCGCATCCAGCCGCAGCTCCATCTCCACACACACGTGCACGAACCTGTGGCACGGGGGGGGGGGGGGGTGAGGTACATTTTAACCAACATGCCGTGAAACCCAGGTAGCCAGCATTGTCACCAAAGTTATTACTGTATTTTAAGGACGTCCGACTTCTCCCAAATACAAGTCAAGTTTCTTACATTATTTGCAGAAGACATGCGTGTGCATTCTAAAGGAGAGCACAAGCCAAATTTGAAAAGGCACAAACACCCCTGTGATTTTGCTTCACTCTACAACCGACGCCCCGCATGAGAGACAAACAAGTGGCAATGCTAACCTGCCCGGCGTGGCGATGATGATGTCGGGCTTCTCGTGCAGCGCCGAGAACTGACCCTCCATCGAGTCGCCTCCCAGCACGGCGGCCGCCCGCAGGTTGGAGAAGCGGCCCAGCTCCTTGGTGAAGCGCAGCGTCTGTGCGCCGCCCGGCACGACGTCAAGCGCGCGCCGTGCCTCGCGCTCGTGCCAGCCACGTCGGTATCACAGACCTACACCAAGTGAAAAGAAACCCCAAAGTGCCGTCCTAGCTGTCAGGGTGAGATGGAATCTGCGTCTGGAAAACCAGCTTCAATTCAAATCAAATAAAAAAATCAGCTTCAAAAAACGAGCTTCAATTCCCCGCGGTGCCGTCCTGTCTGTCGGGGCGAGATGAGATCTGCGTCTGGGAAACCAGAGGAACGGGCTTCGATTCCCCGCGGTGCCGTCCTGGCTGTCAGGATGAGATGAGAGGCAGACGACGGAACATAGCCTCCACAGGTGAGCGCGTCTTACGACGCTATGATAATGACAGCGACTACCACCGACCTGCAGCGCCAGCTCCCTGGTGGGGGAGAGGACCAGAGCCCGCGCGCCAGACATGGCTGACGCCACCTGCAGCTTCTCCAGCATCGGCAGCAGGAAACAGGCCGTCTTGCCGCTGCCCGTGCGAGCCATGGCCACCACGTCCTTGCCCTCCAGGATCACAGGAATACACTGCAAAGTAGCACGGCACAAATGCGGTAAGCGATCTGATAGCTGATGCATGAGTGGTCTGCAAACCTTGTATGAGAAAAAGTGACACGCAGTCACGCCCAATAGCTGAGCTATCCATAATATGACATAACTCGTCACACACCAAAGGGCGACGACGGAAAAAATCGCTTCAGGGCAATAGTCCTACCTTCCTCTGAATAGGTGTTGGGATCTTGTAGCCCCGCTTGACAATGCCCTTGTAGACAGAATTGCTGAAGCCCATGGACTGAAAGCCGCCAGACTTCCTCTTCTTCTTGTTCTGCTCGGCCACCAGGCGGCGCGTGTCCACCTCCTCGGCGTCCGAGACAAAGCCATCTGGCTGCTCGTCGTCAAAGCCGAACGTCTTCTCCTTTTTCCTCGGTTTCATATTTGCAGACCCTCTGAAGAACACAATATTTTGCACTCAACCCTTACCAGTTCCAGTAGCTTCACCAACTCCAGCCAGTGGAGGCTGTTACACCTGCCTGTTGAATCCTTACCGGGTAAGCTTGAAACGACGAAGTAGGTAGCCTTACAAGCACTTTACGAACTGCACTAAGGCATGGTATGTAACCTGGTTCAGATAGGGTTCTATAGGTTCAAATCCCACACATGGAGTGTATAGCCTGTGTTTTAATACTTGAATGCTTAAACCTCGCCCAGATTCGCCGCTTTTTTCATAAAGGGGGCTGGTGTTGGGGGGGGGGGACATACACAAGGACGAGGTAACCACCCATGCTGTTTCCAAGACTAAGAAAGATAGAGCTTAGAGGAAAGCATCAGTGGGTTGCTTTCAACAAGACCTCACGATTGGTAGCAAATTTTATGTTGCTAGGTCGTTAGTTGACTCCATGATGCCAGCCCAGAGTTCAAAGATTAAATCTTCACCCTGATGAAACTTGCTGGAAAGGTAATTAAACACCCTTGCAGGTGGTTAACTCAATTTGAGCCAGCTGATACATCCAGAACTGAGAGCTCAAAACTCATGAACTCATGGGGTAGGTTGGACCCAATGTTCACTAATTTGTGTCACATTTTGTGTCTCTAGGTGGTAGACCTTCTGGTCAAATAAATTCAAACAAGAGAAGACTAGTGATCATTGCACGAAATTCTCTACACCCTCCATATGCAATCAGCTTTAACCTAAATACCATATCCATGTGAAAGGTCGTTCTGGATGCTATCAGGTCAGTAACTTTACATGATCAAAGTAAGTTACCCTGGTTACAGGGTTTGACCTTTATAGGGTCAAAGTGACCCAAAATCACTGACTGTTCATGGCTGATTTTAAATTTAGCTTAAAGAACTATTCTAGGCAGCACATTCATCAATACAAAAGGTTACTTGATGCCATTTCAGGTCAGTGGCCTCGCTTGGTGTTCCTTAAGTCAAAATAGGGAATCTGTTGACATCCTTGTAGTAAGATAATTCCAAATAACAAACAACTGCCCAATACAGCAAATTTTCCCATCAAAACTTCCGTTTTGAGCTTTGTGACCTTCATTGCCAACCCGAGACAAGTAGAATTGGTAGCAATGTTCAGTTCAATTGCCTATTCATGTAGGAAATTATCTAATAATTTTATGATTTCATACTACAACCCATTGTTACACCCATTTTACTTTCACTTAGTGCTCCCTTAAAGGTGAACCACAATCATGGCGTAAATTTATATGATACAGTTCAGGAACATTGTGTGGGACATCCCATTTTAAACAAAATGACCAAATGCTCAATTTGGGTTATGAACAAGGTATAAACAGCAGGCAAGATCTGGGGGCAACTACATTGCATGTCTTATGATATGCAGATTATTCTGCTTACCATATATCTCTCTTCTATAAACTAAGTATAGTAAAACAGCATTTGTGCACACCATACATCTAGTGGCCAAGCACCATTGTTGTGACACAATGTACCATGCTTTTCTACAGACACAAACACAGGGTAAATTTGAGCACAAATTTGAGCAGAGCAGCCCTGACCAGAAAGAAACCCCAAATACAAATGATACCAATAACCCAATAGGGCTGAAATAACCACTAAGTTATGCATTTTTCTGGGAGTTAGCCTCAATTTACCTCAACCTACCCATATCTAACCTTTTCCTTGAGATCCAAGGTAATATCTCAGGCATATATTTTGATGAAATCCTGAATATTTCCTAGAGGCTTTCCATTGTGTCCACACCATTCCATTGATATTTAGTACCTGCTTATGAGATCATATGGGTGCCCCATCTGAACATGTGTTCAAAGGAAGTGTTCTTCATCTGCAAGGGTTAAGATTTGAAACAACCATGTTTTCTGAACAGACTTTTCAGCACTGTTCACAGTCCTGCCCTTCAGAAAACTTAAGCCGCTCTAGTTTCTGAGCAAACACCCACAACAATGAGCAAAGGTATATCAGGGAGATTATTCCAAGCCACCTAGAATTCATAACATCATAATAACATCATTCAAATCCTGCCCTTTCATGCAGAGACCAACACATCAAATCTTGCCAAGACATGCAGCGAATAACATTATTGTTGAGGCATTGATATCTGTTGTAAGCACAATATCCCAATGTGCCAAACATTAATTGGCTCTCAGTCAATGTTGACCCAAGCATGATGTCGTTAACAAGCCATGACACATTGAGGAACATGTTTATTTCAACAGAGTTGTACTGTCTAGAGCCATCTTTTCCATTTAAACAGGCACACAATTAGTCCTTTGTGAGCTTGTTTCATCATGTCCAATGCTTGCTTCAATATTTTCAAATGTGAAACATTCCCTATGGTGGGCATTATAGGCTAAATCCATGACAACTAATGAACCTGCTAATGGTTTTTATCTCCAGCTCAACGAAGAGACAAACGAACGTTACCTTTCCGGGATGTTACACCGCCTAACACAGGGCGGCCAGGGGAGGTGGCCCAGCCTAACCAGAGCGGAACCAGGGTAAATCAACTTGTGGATGGCCCCAAACACATCGAAATCTTTGTAACAAAATACTTGATCAGCGCTTGCTGCAAGCACGCAGATGCTTACACCCGGCCATACGTTTGGGACGCCTACCTCGCTCTGTATTTGGACTATTCACACGTGCATCGGAAACATTGGTTCTATTGTCGCAGTTGCGTTGTTTTTGTCGCCTATTTTATTGTACTGGGAATATTTGACCTTCAGGTAAACAGTTTTTTGCAAATTTATCACCATGCCCAATAATAATATATTTAAATCATAATGAATAGATGTTGTCTGAAAAAATGCCCATTTAAAACAAATATAATTATCATGTTTAAAGCAACACATTTTTTTTTTACTTCTTGCGTACCATTTTCACCGAAGGTCGCCAAAGGTTACTTATCTAGCGCGTCGGTCTCTTTTCGCCGCCTTTCCTGTGCCGGCTTGGTTGGTGTCCGTCGAGGAACGCGTGAGAGGTGGGGGCCTGTATGGACTGATATGGAATACATGGAATAAGTGTGTTTAGTCCATAGGTGTGAATACTTAATTTTGCTCCTCGGTCTGCATGCTAGGTTAGCAGGTACCCAGGTCCTAGTGTGCCAAAAATTAGGCACTGCACCGTCTTGTCAACCCAATACGCCTTTGTGATATTGGTGCACTAAACCTTCTGTGCATGTGCACTAAACCTTTCATGCATTTAGTGCACCACAGTTCATGTCAGGCCCAACTTGTGTGGAATTTTTTATGTGTGAAATATTAGCTTCCAATATGTTTTCCTGCAATTACTTTTGCAGCATCTCAGTTCCTTGGCTGAAATTGGCACAGCTTGGGCACAGAATTAAGGGGTCATATTTATGACAGATGTCACTGAAATAATTGTAGAGATTTCACTGTCAGGCTGGACATGTTTGGCATGGCATGTATTGTTTGCAGTCCAGCCCTGCTCAGAAACCTAATTAGTCATGGTCTTGATGAGTGTCATTGAGGTAAGTTTGTAATACAATAATAAATAAATACAAAAGACTGTGCATACATACCCTCCAAAACAAAGGGCAGTTACACACTGGGCTTTTACCTGCTCCAAATTGGAGGGTGGCTACTCCCACCAGGCTCATACACCCTCAAAAAATATTTCAGATAGTTGTATGTGTCAGCATACACATTTTCAGTGCAGGAGGGAAGTAAGTGCAAACATGCAGAATCTCGTGAAAAGTCTCAACCCGCTGGCAACAGTCGGCTCAACACGTTATAGGCATGAGATGGTCACTAAACCCATCAACCCACTCCAAGTCAGTTCTTGTCTGTTCACAAATTTTCGGCCACCTGGCTGCGTTCTCAGTAGATGGATGGTTAGCTTGGGTCTTCGCATGTGGAAGGCCGCTGGTTCAAATCTTGATGACTGCCCTTGTTAAGTGGGTGGTGTCATGGCTTATCAGTGTGGCATGATGCCAACTTGCTTCACTCCTAAGGGAATAGATTCTAGCTTGGGCGTACCCAGGGCAGAAGCGTAGTTTCTACATCAAGGAGAAGTGGGGGGGGGGGCGGGTGTCCGCACTCAACAGAGACATTGAGGATCCGGTGAACATTGACTGTACATCTAACTGAGGCCAGCACCTTGTATAAATATATGCAGTCCTTTTTCATCTGGGAATTTTCAACTGTGAGTCAGAATCAGTTAGTGAAAAGTTAGTTCACACTACCCTTCCTGGCAGTGCCTCAAACATCATCCCATCCCATCCCAGGGTGTCTACCAGCTGCCATTCTGGGGACATGGAGGTGGGTTCACCTAATGGGCTCGTCTGGAGGCCCTCACAAATGCACATCCTACACTGGTGCCCTCCCTGGCGCGCAAAGCCCTCTGGCGGCTTCCGGCCGGAACATTTGACCCGGGATAGGAGCAAGAGCCTTCATTGGCGCAACAACATCCTTGATGATCACAGGTGGTTCAGTTAATGACACAGTTACCCATGTTTGGCCAACGGGCCCTTGGCTAAAACGGGGTGAAGGCGGGCCGACACAGGGGCCCCTCATTGGCTCGGGGTGCACCGACCAACGTAAATCGCTGGTCCCGACCTTGTCCTTGCTTGGGAAATGGGCTCCCAGGCCCAGGCTGGGGCCCAGTCAGTGCAGCTGGCCCTCTGGCTGGTATTTGAGGGTCCGACCCGCGCCATCCCAATGACCGTAAACCAGCCCTTCGGCCCTCCCATATCGGATTTACGGTGCTCCCATTTGAGGTTTCTTCATGGTCACTTGAATGACACCTCAGGCTTAAGAATCAGTCACTTGTTCCCATGACAGTCCGGTATCAAGGGCAAACTGAGTTTGGGGAGGGGCAAAAAAGTGGAAAATAACAAAAGTATCCCCAAAACCCATGGCAACAAGCGAGTTTCTCCTCAAATTTGGTCTCCTTTCTTTGAGGGACCCAAATAAGGGACGGAGGGGTTTCTCCAATGGCATAGAAAGCTGCGCCACCATCCATCACTGAGGTCTAGTTTTTTCTGTTCAGGCAGTTGTGATATGACCACCACTTACATTTTCTTTTCAGAGTTGCAATGTGCCCATTACTTATGCCACCATTTAAATGTCATGAGATGAGGGCATCGATACTGATCACACTACCATTGAGGGACCCGAACGTCACCGGGATTAGAACCGAGCTCACTGGAGAGCCAGATACGCCAACCACGCGGGCATACAAGCCCTGTGCGCAACTGCCCTCTGATTTGGAGGATGTATAAGCCCTGTGCGTAACCACCCTCTGATTTGGAGGGTGTATATGCACTGCCAATGCAAAACGTATCTAACCATCTCCTAACCTGTCTTAAAACTAACCTCGCATTTACCTGTCCATACTCCTTGAATTTACCTTGTGCTAGAGTACACTGATACCTATGGCACCCTGGAAAATGTTTTGTTTGCCACATTGAGAGAGGTTTGAGTAATGATTGGGCTTCAGCTAATCTTTATTCGTGGTCAACGGTTGGGCTTCAATGTAATGGTGTCAACAACTATTTTGATCTCTCCAATTCCTGTCAGGTTCTGACTGGGTCTTGTGAACATAAGTGAATGAATGTGCTGTGCATCAAAGTCATCATTTAAAGTCATCCCATCCAACCCCAGACATGTTTCTTGATCTCATAACATTGCTAGTTGCTATTTTAAATTGTGTCAAACATAACAGCCTGAGAAGGACAAGCCAGCAATCAGCACCAAAAGACTGGTGGCTTTTAATGTGTTAATGTGTTTAAACAGTGGCACGGGGGATTGTGCATTATGAATGCTGACCTTGATGACTGCATGCTCGCTTATATCACATACTTGTAAACAAAATATTAGCAGCAGAGGATGCCAGTATCTGGACTAGAGATCTGGCATCACAATGAAATGGGAAGCATAGTATGAATGAGTACCTGGAGCCATTCTGACAACAAAACTCATGCTCAAATCTCCACATGAATGCAGGCTCACAACACATATTAATTTGTCATCTAAGGAGTTGTCGGACCTGGTCTATCTATTATGTATAAACTTTGTGTTGCAGGTGTGGGAAACTCCTTAAGTTTACCCATAGTCCAGCATGCTACAGTTGCCCTGAAATGTTTGGGTGAAAGACAGCAATCAGAAATCATTATTGTCTCTAAGCTTTTTGGTAGCTTCCTTTTCCCCTACACTCATCATGCTGCCATGCTGTCAGATTGTCTTGAAAGTGGCATATGCTTTACAGTTTTGTAGGCTGTTTGATGCACAGTGGAATGCAAATCAGGCCTTCATTACATGATTGAAAATGCCTATCCCAGTGGCTCACCTGGTTAAAGCATTTGTCTTCCAGTTCACCCTCCTGTGGAGGGGTCACTTAAGTCATTTAATGCACTTCTATTGCAGCTTCTGGCTGGGATGGCGTGGGGGGAAGTATATAATCTGCAGCGGATGAATGAGTCATTGATCTGGTGTTCTGACTGCCATGCTGTGTCTTCCCCAGCAGACTACCCATCCACAACACATCATGGGCAAGGATCCGCTGCGTGTCTGCGTGACTGGCGCGGCCGGCCAGATCGGCTACTCGCTGCTCTTCCAGCTGGCTGAGGGTAACGTCTTCGGCGCCGACCAGCCTCTGATCCTGCAGCTGCTCGACATCACGCCGTGCCTGCCGGCGCTGAACGGGGTCGTGATGGAGCTGCAGGACTGCGCTCTGCCGCTGATCCATGACGTTGTTGGCACTGCTGACCCTCTTGTAGCCTTCAAGGACATAGACGCCGCCTTCCTGGTGGGTGCCATGCCACGCCGTGAAGGCATGGAGCGCAAGGACCTGCTGGCTGCTAACGTCAAGATCTTCAAGGAGCAGGGCAATGCCCTGGACCAGGTGGCCAAGAAGTCGGTCAAGGTGCTGGTCGTCGGCAACCCGGCCAACACCAACGCGCTCATCTGCTCCAAGTACGCGCCTTCCATTCCGCGCGAGAACTTCTCGGCGATGACGCGGCTCGACCAGAATCGCTCTCAGGCGCAGATCGCCGCCAAGCTGGGCGTGCCCAACAGCGCCGTGCGCGGCTGCATCATCTGGGGCAACCACTCGTCGACGCAGTACCCGGACGTGGCGCACGCCGAGGCCGAGGTGGGCGGCCGCTGGGTCAAGGTGCCCGAGGCGGTGGGCGACGAGCAGTACCTGCGCGGCGAGTTCATCACCACCGTGCAGAAGCGCGGCGCCGCCATCATCGCCGCGCGCAAGCTCTCGTCGGCCATGTCGGCGGCCAAGGCGGCATGCGACCACATGCACGACTGGTTCGCCGGCACGCCGGCCGACCGCTTCGTCAGCATGGCCGTGTTCTCGGACGGCTCGTACAAGACGCCGGAGGGAGTCATGTACTCGTTCCCCGTCACCATCGCCGCCGGCCAGTGGAAGATCGTGCAGGGCCTGAGCATCGACGACTTCGCGCGCGAGAAGATGGACGCCACCGGCAAGGAGCTGGTCGAAGGAGCGCGAGGAGGCGGTGGCCGCCTGCGCCTGAGGGCGCGGCCGGGCCCTCAGCGCCCTCTAGCCGCGCGGCCAGCCGGTCAGTCCGCTCGGGTGCGCGCGCGGCCCGCCGGGGGCCCGGCGACACTCGCCGTCAGCAGACGCGCGCCATCAGGTAGCTGCGGTGTGTTGGGTAGGCCGGCCGTGCCAGGCCGTCGGCGGCGTGCAGTTGGTCTGCCGTGGTACTGGCCTGCCACCGCGGCTTTACCCTGTGACGCGCTGCCTACGGCGGCGGTCCCCGGAGTCATTTTTGTTTTGGTAGTGGGATATATGCTGTGGGTTCCAAGAGACGCTGCTAGTGCCAGGGTCGAATTTAGTTGACGAATTGACCAACCTGTAACCACGTCCGAATTGAGGTCGTCAAGCATATCGTTTCCTATTGCAGCTGTTGTTCAGATCATGTCGGCCCTTGGTGGACCAGCAATACACGAATACAAGAATTCGTTATCTACGTTGGTGTTCCACTGCAAGCGCCATACACCGCCGAAGCCAACCCTCTGAGCCCGAAAATCTTGTGTGTCGGTGCGGCACCTTGCCGTACGCATGATGACATATGGTGGGCTGTGGGTCGGACAAACATAGAAAGAAAGGCGGAGACCGGCCATCTTCGACGCCCTGGGCATGACGCCATATCCGCAGCATGATGTGCGAGGGAAGGACCCGATGCTTGGTCTCATCAGCACTCGGGTGGCGGCCGCAGCGCAACTGTCTAGGGAGCAGCTCGCTTTCCGCGACGTGGGTGTGCGCTCCTAAAGGGCACGCAAAGCTACAACTTGAAACATGTGTCGTCCGCCGGCTAAGTGCGCACAGGCGCCACGGACGGTCCGCCACATGTGGCGCGGCGTTTAACGGGCAGCGCGGGGACCAGCTGTTGGCATTCGGAGAGCCCTGTCATCTTACCTCATGTGAAGGGGATGGATTACGGAGGATCAA